CCAACTCACCGAGCACCTTGAGCACGCTTTGGTCGTGTTTGTGTTCAAAACAGCAAATAAAAAAGAAAAAACAATCTAAATTGTCCTGGATTTGTCTTGTATTTAAATCCACAGCAGTGAACCATGTAAAGGTGCTTTTTGATATCTGGACTGGACTCTGATTGGATGAGAGAAAGCTGAGCTGGGAGTTGTCTCCAGCTTTTATATCTGCTTCCTTCTCGGCTCGTTAGAGATATTTAATGACGGGCGTTCAGAGGAACTATTTTATTACCTCGAGTGAAACTAAGCGGCTACATGAAGGTGGAGAAGGTCAATGTGCTGACCAGTCATATTTCTGGGTAGGAGGAATACGTTACAGATTAACGATGGACTTAGTTTCAAAAGCACATGTAAAGAGTGAGGGGAGGGGCTAACTGAAAGACCAACGGGCACCAGAAGTGTCAATCACACAGTAGCCCCGCCCTAAAACAAGCCCTCCCGTTTCCTTCTTTCTGACTCTAATTTATGAAGCACAGCATGTTTTACTGTGTCAGCACAAGATGTCCCAACAAATTCAGCTCAGACCACCACAGTGAGCATGTGAAAGGTTAAAGTTATACCACATTTCTGGAGACGAGCACAAAACGACGATTTCTGCGTTACCTTGATGTGCTTCACGCCGCAGCTCACCAGGCGGCTTTGCTGAAACGGATCCCAGCAGATGTCAAAGATCTGGAGAAACAGAAGAAACGTCCGTTATCGGGTTTATGTGAAAACGCGTGCATGCACAGTGGAAGTACGATGAGAAGGAAACACTTTCAACTCTGTAAAAGATTTTTTATTGAGATCTGATTGGTGTGTGGTGCTTCACGCTGATTTTCTGTCCCGCTCAGACGGCACCGCCCAGAGGCTTTGCCAGACGGCGGCAAGCGGCGAGGCTTAACTGCAGAGGAAGCTGATTGGTGCACGCTCTCACCCTGTCCGAGTGTCCCGTGGCCGTGGCCAGGATCTTCCCTCTCTTCCACTCCCAGATACACACCGTGTTCTTGGCGTCCAGGCCGACCGAGGCCAGCCGCTGCGGAGGAGAGACGAGGACGGTTACGCATCCAAAATGTCTACAAACAATTTAAAAAAGAGGCTGAACGTGCAGAAATCTGACAGCTCATCTGCTTCATACGTGCAAAAGCTTAATCCAAGCTGACAGAGGGCGGGGCTCCCTGCTCGATTAGCCTGACGCTCATGTGACGTGTTTGTAAGTGTAAATATAGCAACTCTGCAACATTTCAGATGAACTCAAGTTTATTTCTAACGACCAAACCTTTAAAGCGTTTTCAAAGGTTTGCTTGGAAAGGCTGAGGTCAAACTGCAGGAATGTCTTAAAGGCATAAAGACCTGGATGGCCGCTAACTTTCTGCTTCTTAATTCAGATAAAACTGAGGTTATTGTACTCGGCCCTGAAAATCTTAGAAATATGGTATCTAAGCAGATTCTTACTCTGGATGGCATTACCTTGTCCTCCAGTAACACTGTGAGGAACCTTGGAGTCATGTTTGACCAGGACATGTCCTTCAACGCACATATTAAACAAATATATCAGACTGCTTTCTTCCATTTGCGCAACATCTCTAAAATTAGAAATATCCTGTCTCAGAGTGACGCTGAAAAACTAGTTCATGCATTTATTACTTCCAGGCTGGACGACTGTAATTCATTATTATCAGGAAGTCCTAAAAACTCCCTGAAAAGCCTTCAGCTGATCCAAAATGCTGCAGCAAGAGTCCTGACAGGGACTAGAAAGAGAGAGCAGATTTCTCCTGTTTTGGCTTCCTGTTAAATCCAGAATTCAAAATCCTGCTCCTCACATACAAGGTCTTAAATAATCAGGCCCCATCTTATCTTAATGACCTTGTAGTACCATATCAGCCTATTAGAGCACTTCGCTCTCGCTCTGCAGGCCTACTTGTTGTTCCTAGAGTATTTAAAAGTAGAATGGGAGGCAGAGCCTTCAGTTTTCAGGCCCCTCTTCTGTGGAACCAGCTTCCAGTTTGGATTCAGGAGACAGACACGATCTCTACTTTTAAGATTAGGCTTCAAACTTTCCTTTTTGCTAAAGCATATAGTTAGGGCTGGACCAGGTGACCCTGAATCCTCCCTTAGTTATGCTGCAATAGACGTAGGCTGCCGGGGATTCCCATGATGCATTGAGTTTTTCCTTTCCAGTCACCTTCCTCACTCACTATGTATTAACAGACCTCTCTGCACTGAATCATATCTGTTATTAATCTCTGTCTCTCTTCCACAGCATGTCTTTATCCTGTCTTCCTTCTCTCACCCCAACCAATCACAGCAGATGGCCCCGCCCCTCCCTGAGCCTGGTTCTGCCGGAGGTTTCTTCCTGTTAAAAGGGAGTTTTTCCTTCCCACTGTCGCCAAAGTGCTGCTCACAGGGGGTCATATGATTGTTGGGGTTTCCTCTGTATCTATGAAGCGCCTTGAGGCGACTTTTGTTGTGATTTGGCGCTATATGAATAAAATTGAATTGAATTGAATTGAAAGGTTAACGGGAAGAATACCTGAAAGGAGCGTCGAGCTGCTGCGCAAACAGACGTCTGCGCTCCTTCAGTGATCAAAGACTCAGCAGATCATAAAGGATTCAGCTTCACAGCAGTCCTCAATAAATCAGCCACAGCCTGCACACTTGATTTATTATTAAGCTGGAGTTATGATTATTTTATTGATTGTGTGTTTATTTTGATTTAGCCTGAGATGTTCAGTCATCCAAAGTCAGTGCCAGGGGCAGAAACTGCTGGCTCAGCATTCACAGAGTCGCCTCACAGCTCAGCAGCAGCGACAGCGTTTTCATTAATATCACTCACGTCCACAGAAACCAGAACCAGTGCAGCTTATTGGCAGTTTCATCACCGTCTGACCTCAACGACACCTTCAGATCTGGTTTTCCAGCAAACGTTTGATGTGTTTTCAGCATCAGACCTTCCAGAGTCGTCCTGCTGTGACGCTCACAAAGACTTCAGCTTTTCCAGGCTCCACGGTTAGAATCACAAATCAAAACCAAAGTAAAAAACAGGTTTTTAGTGTCTTCACTGAGTCCGTCAGGAGCTGACAGCAAGGACCAGGCCAGGTCACTGCTAACACTTATTAACAGGACTAAGAGCAGAATTCCTAATTAACCGCTTAAGCCCCAACGCCCCTGATACGGGGGCAAAAGGTCAGGTAGGTTTGGGGCTTAAGAGGTTAATGGAATTTCATTTTATTTAACTTACAGTGTTTTCCTGTAAATACACGAGAATCAGGAGGAAATAATCCCACCGTCAGGAATTAGAAGTCGTTTGAATTTAAAGGTGATTTTGCAGAAGAAGATTGTCTCATCGTACATCGTAAACACTCGTCAGCCACATCGTGGCGTGCACGAGTCCTTATCTTATAATAAATATGTTGACGTGCACGATGGGTGCTGTATTATTCAGCCGACCTTTACCGCTCTCTCTTTTAATGCTCGACCCAAATCAAATGATTAGTTCTTCTTTCACAATCGCTTTGAAAGGAACGCCTCACTTCCTGTAAAACACCTGGAAGTTAAAGTTAGGCCCCCCACAGTGTGGCTCCGCCCTGCAGACAACACTGCTTTCATTTCTATATGTTTAAATTCCAAAGATGACGAACCGTCTTCAGACTGAAGGACGTTTGGATGGAAATCTCATCATTAGTGAAGCGATGTTGGGCCGTCGACAGATAACGATGGCGGGTGGCTACGGAGCTGTGGAGCACAGGAGAGCTGGAGGATGATGGTTAAGGTGTTTTCATGTTGACGCTCCCTAACGCACAGAAACGCCACCAAACGGCAGAAAGAGGACAGCGAGAGCACGTCTGAGATGGTCGATGAAGATGGTCCTCAGCTCCGGGTCCACGCCCACCTTCAGGTATTCGGGTATTTTGTAAGCTGAGCTGCACGTGAACAGAGCTGATAAACCCGTCAGCACCATCATCATGTTCTCTGTGAGTGAAGGCGGGTCTGACTCTAAGCTGCTGTTATTTATGATTTCGCTCTTTACAGCTCTATTGATTTTCTTATTTCAGCATCAGTTGCTGAGAAACAGTTTATTTACCGCGCACGCCGCCCACTCACACCCAGGGTTATTTCATATGTTGGTTTGTGACGCGTTTCATTTTCCCAGCCGCAGGCTGACACGACGGGAGGGACCTGCAGGGACTGGGGGAAGCATTCGTTAGAAGTTATTCTAACGTGTTGACACGACACCGAGTTTGGCGTCTGTGGCGCTGCCGTCAGACGCGGCGCTGCCGGTAAACTCAGAGCGACTCCACCAGGTTTGTTTGCTAAATGAGTCACGGTGGAGTCAGCGGGAGGGAAAAGGAGGCGTATAAAAGCAACTCCAGCACTCCAGGTGGCTGAGAGGGAACTATTTGCTCAGGCTGCACACACACACACACACACACACACACACGCACACACACACACACACAGATGAGTGAAATCAAACATGCAGAGAGATGTGCGTGCACATCCCGTACTACATTTAGGTCAGGAGCAGAACGAGACAGTCAATGGCAGAACAAATGGAGCGTCTGCTTCCTGGATTACAGCTCCTGGGAATCTGATCGGACTAAAAAAAGTCCGGGAAGCACGAGGACACGAACGTCACTACACGTACGAGTCTACATGTGATCGCAGAAAGCAACCAATGCTTCAGGAGCAACGCGCTTTAATATTCACATTTACAAAAGCCAGAAATCTGAACCTGGACTTGATCTTGACCCATTTTCAGGTTTCAGAGTCAGCTGATGTCCTTCAGCAGCTTTGCATGATTCACAGTTCAAAGTAATCCTTCTTTATCTCATGAGCCTCAGTGCAGCAGTTGTAACTCCTCCCCTCTCTAAGACAATGTTCTTCTGATTGGCTGTGAACATCCAGCACTGGAGCAGGAGATATGCGACTGCAATGAGTGAAAGGCATCTTTATTAAAACTGCACGTCACGGAGACGAGAGGAAAAACCCACCGGTGTTTAGAGAGCTCATCTTCCACAGTATAAGGAATAATAACGCTGTTTTAATAAAAGCATCACACTGAGGACGGCACTGATCAGCCACGCCTTAAAGCAGACCATCTCCTGCTACTGTTGCTCTTCCTGTTGACCAAAGCACGTCATGAATCGAGCTTGTGCACCGAGGTGTTAATCACAATGTCTGCTAAAGGCTACACGTGCCTCAATATTCAGACTGCAAACGTACAATCAGCCACAGGATGGACGGCTGTTCATATTCTGATCTACTACAACATTAACTGCTGGTTATGACAGAAACACGTCACAGAACGAGCGCTCGACGTTTCTCCGACCCGACGCGCCCGAGAAGACGATCTTTAATCAGCCGTCGGTCAAATTTGAATCAGGTTTTGATTTTCAGGAGCTCCTTTAAAATACTGACAAAGTCATCGGTAACGAGGTTGATTGTTTCTCAGTGTGTTGAAACCAGCCGTGACTTGGGGCTGACCTTTAACCCTGTCCCGCTCTCTGGTCCTGCCTCACTCAAACCGGAGGATAATTTCCTAAATTAATATGATGTTGACTTGAAAAGACTCGAAAGCAGCGACTGAGACCATAAACTGATCAGGAGAGCGCTCACTGAAGCCAGCCGCCCCCTGCTGGCCATTACAGAGGATGTCCATCTGATAATAAGCTCTGCTCTGTTCTCAGAAAGGGTTTGAGGAGCACGATGAAGAGTTCGAGGAAGCTTTCCAATTGGACTTCCCAGAAATCCAACCAGGCAGGTGGGATGTGCAGGAAAAACAAGTCCCGTCCACAGAGGCGTCACGTCGCAGCTGCTACCATCGTCGGTGTGCGATACTACGGAGCACCTGCAGATGTTTGTGGAGTCCTCAGAGGTGTTTCAGCAGCACGATGGGGTCGCACACAAAGCATTAATAACTGTGCTGATTGACACAGAGAGGAGCCCTGTGAGGACACAAGGGTCTGACACGAACTTTAGCGCGATGTCTGCGTTCTTCTTCCAAAGAATCAAAGTGCATCGTGCCAGAGTCTGAAGACCAGGCGTGCTCGCCTCTGACAGAGCGACCTGCGGTAAATCGATGCAGCTGTAGAGAAAATGATGTGAGGTTGATGCTGTGTGTGAGTTTAGGACAGGTGGGTTGCACCGCACTCATTTTCCACCTTTGACTGTAAGTTACTGAACCAAAGTGATGGATGATGTCATTACTTTTATCATCATCCTCTCAGCTCACTCTGCCCTTTTCCTGCCCCTCCTTCCTCTCACCGAGTCATTCTTCTATGACCTTTGGGTTGATGCAGGACACACACACACACACACACACAGATTGATTATTGGGCTTTGACTGACCCCGATAAACTTCATAATGCTTCATTATCTCTGCAGAAAAATTTACTGCCCACAGCCCTGATGGACGACTAAATCTTTGTCACGTTTCTAAAGCGGAAATTTCAAAACTCATCTGACAAAAGCCGCCAGGACACATTCAGCCTCAGAGGTCTGCTTATCGTCACATCAAGCATCATGAGGGCCCCACGGGCAGAGTCATAATCTGGGTCCCAGTAAACCCAAAAAACAGGCCTCAAGTCCTGTTACTAAGCAATAATATCAGTCGACAGCACCGATGACGGCGTTTATGTGGACCACAGATTCCCACTGGGCCACACGGGCTTATTTACTCAAAACCACAGACGGTATCAAAGATGTCACGAAGCCTGAGAGTGCAGCGAGCGCGGGCTGGATGGTCCTTATTTCTAATGTTTTACTCAGTGTGACGCAAAGTGTCGCACTTCTAAAGGAGCAGAAATCTTGTTGCTGTCGCCCCCTGGTGCTCATTAAGAATAATGCAGGACTTTCATCGTTCATGCTTTTTATGCTGGATGTGTTTGTGTTCAGCATAAATGTCAAATCTTTGTCAAAATCCTTCACATAGAAATGATCCCACCAGCTGCAGGGTCTCAGTGTTGAAGATTACATTACACTGCATGCTGTAGATTTAAGGTGGATTATTAATTATTAATGCAGCTCATTCATTCACATGAAAACTAAAGAGTTTCCAGAAAATTTACATTTGATTCCAGCCTTATCTTTAAAAATCATAGTCTTAGACTGTGTGTGTGTGTGTGTGTGTGTGTGTGTGTGTGTGTGTGTGTGTGTGTGTGTGCGCGTCACCTGTCCATCAGCGCTGAATGCGAGGCAGGCGATGCCGTGTGTGTGTCCGTCACGCAGCAGTGACACGGTCTGGGCGGTGAAGGTGTCCCACACACACACATACGGATCCTTGCCCACCTGACCCGTCGCCACCAGGGAGCGCTCCGGGTGCAGCGCCAGGCTGAAGGGAGGAAAGAGGCGGAGACGTTAGAAAGACAAAGGACGGAGGGGAGGAGACAGGTAATAACACAGACGACCAATCAGAGAACATATGGCTATAAGGTATACGCAGGAGTAAAGGAGCACTCAAAACTTTACTCAGGCAAACAAAGAGCTGCTTTAAAACTACAACACACGCACGAACATCACAGCAGAGACTGTGGCAGCGTTTTTACATCATTTTAAAGATTTAATGTTGGAACCGATTCGTCACTCGCAGCTTTACGTGATGGATTTGGTGTCACACAGTGGTAGAAGTGATGAATCATCATAAACATGTAGAATTAAACTTTTTAATGAATGTTAGAGTGAAATGTTAAATGCTGTCGTTGTGCTTAAATCTGTAAACCTTGTTTTAACCTGTATGTTTAGAGATTTTTCTGTTCCCCACATCGAGGGTAACAGCACACTGCATGTAAGCTTCTGGTCCTTATTTAGGGAGGATGTTTTACTTCCTGCCCTTTATGGCCTCACCTGTGCTTCTGTGTGGTGAGACTGTTAAAAAGGGGTTGAGTCATATGCAGGGTGAGGGGAGGTGACCCTTTGCGATCAGCAGGAAGTCACACAAAAACACCCACATGCACACACACACACTGCTGCTCTGAGGATCTGACCAGGCTCCCCTTGCTAGCAAGTTGAGCTGTTTGTCTTTCTTTCTTCACGGGTGATGAGTCTTTGAACCAGCGAGGCCTGCGAGGCGCAGACCCAACAATGATTTCGACATCTTCCAACAGCGTTGCCTTCGACGGCTGCTCAAGATCACATATCGGGATCGCGTTACTAACGAGGAAGCCGCTCCACGTCCAAGTCACCAAGCGCCGTTTCAGATTCGCCGCTCACATCCTTCGGCTACCGGACCCGAGACCCACCCGTGTCGCGGTTCTGTGGAACCCGAGGAATGGAAAGAGACGGCGAGGAAGACCCAAAATAACTTGGAGGAGTACGTTCCTTGAAGATTCACGCTCGGCCAAGCTGTCATGGGATGAAGCAGCAACTGCCGCGATGGACCGAGTTCGATGGCGTTCTCTTGTCGCCCGATGCGCCGATCGGCGCGGGAGGATCGTTCTTCGTCTCCCGTTCAGAGGGTCAATGTTCTCCTTTGCAGACAGCGCTATAAATACACCTGCTGCTTTAATGGCATCATTATCAGCACACACACACACACACACACAGTCTCATGCTCTGTTATTGTTGTAAAGGTCGTGTTTCGTGACCTTCGCCGAGTCTCCTCACTGTGACCTCACAGACACCAGTTTATTTTCTGTCTCCTGTTTGAGAGGACGGACAAAACTGTCCGTCCTCTCAGATCCGGTGTGTGACACTCATGGATCCATTTTGCTGCTGCTGTCAGCCAATCAGCACAGTGAGGCGGGCTGGGCAGTTTTAGCCTGCTGGGATGGAGATGGCACGCGATCCCACAGGAGCTGGAAAACATGGCTGGATAAATGTGGGAACACCGTCCTTATCCTGCTGTCAGTAAGAGGAAAACTGGATTTCTGAGGGGAGGCTTGTTTCAGTCTGATAAAAAGAAGGCTTATTTTGAACTGTGATGGTAAGATAGAGCTGAACATGAGGACAATATTTGTAAAAGTTGAACATTTAATTGTTGACGCTCCTTTTTACCCAGCCTCAGCTCCCGGGGTCGATGGGTCAAAATAAACTGCTCCCATTTCTGGTGCGTTTACATTTTTATGAAATCAGGATGTTATTGTGTCTCCGTGTGCTGGTTCAGAGGATAAACATGAGCATCTGGAGGAACAGCAATAATAATAATAGTACGAACAGATTTACTCACAGGGGCTGATGTTCAACCAGCACGCTCACTGCACTGTGGTACCTGTAGCTTAACCTGAGACCTGTGTGTGTGTGAGTCTGTGTGTGTAGTTCGGAAAGGTCAGTGCATGCAGAGGTGTGTGACACACGGAGCAGCCGTGTATGAAATAATAGAAGCAGAAATAGAACAGGTGTGTCGGCCACGAAGCTCCATTGATCTCAGAGATGGTATCTCTCTCCACACACACACACACACACACGCACACACACACACGCACGCACGCACGCACGCACGCACGCACGCACGCACACACACACACACACACACACACACACACACACACACACACACACTCAGACGTTCCTTCTCAACCTGCCAGCCAATGAGCCTGCAAGCTGCCGCGGTTGCTATAACAACCGTATTGCCAAGGGCAGGGAAGCTGAGGTCTGAGCATGACAACTGTGGAGCCAAGGTCACACACACACACACACACACACCTGAACACCCGTCTCTACTGGATGATACCCGACAACTTCCAGACGTCTTCTTCTTTGGTTTTTTGTCGTATTTATACTCTACTCTTTATCTCACTGACATTTGATAAAACCGAGCGTGTGTGTGTGTGTGTACAGCTACAGAGTTTATACTGGTAAATGGTCAAATGGCCTGCATTTGTATAGCGCTTTTCTAGTCCTTAAGGACCCCAAAACGCTTTACACTACATTCAGTCATTCACCCATTCACACACACATTCACACACTGGCGATAGCAAGCTACATTGTAGCCACAGCTGCCCTGGGGCGCACTGACAGAGGCGAGTAGAATTCATTTCTACTCAGTAGAAATGAATTCTCTCTCACATCCTTTCACACCCATGAGTCTGAACAGAAGGTCAAAGAAGGCTGTTATGGGCCGGATGACTAATTTACAAAGTATTAGAGAAAAGCAGGCTGGTCTAAAAATAAGAAAATCACCACATAAATGTGCAGCACTCACAGACGGGGGAATATCCTTCACTGTCATGTGAAACCTCCAATCAGAGCCACAGAGTGACACAAGCTTCAGATGTAAACAATGAAGCCAGGGTTAATGTTCCTTACAGGTACAGTCAGCTTGTTTTTAGTTAAAGTAACATGGTTAGCACGCAGCACGCTGGGACTGAGTTAAACAGCAGCACACACACGCTGACCTCTGACCTGGAACCTAAAACCACACACACAGGCTCACAGGACTGTCTCCAGGTTTGTCTACAGACTCTTAATGAAAGATGAGCATCGTTAAAACTAAAACTGGGCTTTGTGACGACTTGTTTCTGTGTCTGCAGTGTAGGGCTGCCACAAACAATTATTTTGATAGTCGACTAATCAGATCATCATCCATTGGACGTAAAATGTACAGCTTATCCGGTCGTTAAGTGATGACGTGACGAATCCTACTTCCGGGTCTAAAGTAGTCTGCGTTTAATATGGCTTTTGTGTTGTTAACATGTTTAATGTTTTGTATTTTCTTCTATTTGATCTCAAAAAGCTCCTAAAACAGTCAGTGATCCCTGTTGACCTCCCTCGGCTTTTATTACCGCTAATCATTTATTTAAGCTCAGTTTTTAAAACCTTAGGATGTAACTACAGCCCAGCCCATGCAGCAGTATATGAATGACTAACCTCGTATTGTGGATGGATTATCTCAGTTGTTCTCCTGGCTGAAGTTTGGTCCTTTTACAGCATCCTGCCATGCGATTACATTTGTTCCTGACCACCGAGAACACTCACATTAACTTTTATCAAGTGGAAAAAAAGTTAGCTTGTTTATATTATGCTAACATAGCTGTGTCGCTAGCGGTCACGTAGCACATCATTATATACCAGCTAGCCCAACTTCAGTAACCCTACAAACATCACTGCTGTTTAGTTTTCTGTCTTCATTTATGTTGGAAGTGATAACAGAGCTGTACGTTTGAATTTGTTTCCAAAGCCCCGCAGTCAGGACATGCTATATTGTATTTAGATAGAAGCTAGCGAGCTAACTCCCTGCTAACTTCTAACTCCGTTAAATGTCATAAATTCCGTTTTCATGGATGCCTGGATGTTAAACTCAATTGTTACACCTGGTAGAGCAGAACGCTGATCATTTTATTAGAGATGAAAGACTTTAGACAGTTTTTCAACTCTCAGTGATGCCATAGTGATCGTTTGATATATGGACCTGCAGCGGAGTTTAGGCCCAGACACGGCTAGTGACATCAGACTGAACAACCGGATTGCACCAGCAGCATCTGCTCTTATATAACTATCACTAGCTTACAGCTTTAAGTGTTTCAGGTCTGTGCTAACTAAAAATAAAGACAAGATGATCGTTTATTAAATTTAAATGAAATTTGCAGATTGTTTCGGTGAAGTTTAATAAACTCCTTGCTATCTAAAATATAACAGGACACCGGAGTAAATTCTTGAGCATCTCACACTTCTGATGATCAGCTGTCTGCTTGACGTTTATTCAGCTGTGTAAAAACTATAACTTTAATCTCAGCCAAACCGATTTACTCAGGAACAAATAAAATACTAAAAAAAGCCAAACAATAACATTTTCAAGTTATCTAAGTGACTCATATATCATGTTTAACCTGAGTAGCGGCGGTGGGTTTGAAAACGATTTGCCGGGAGTCCGGTGTTCTCACGGCTCTAGTGACCTAGCCCCCGGCTAGCTATCGAGCTAGTGGGTAACAGACGTTTCTGAAAACGTCGGAGCGCTTTTGAAAATATGCGGTGTCCTGATAAACTGAGCAGATATTTGAGGTTTCCACAGCTACATTCTCGCCTGAAAATATGTCAAACGTTTATTTTGTGACCCAGAAAGAATAATAAGAGTAATATTAAAACTAACTAGCTGCCGCCATTGTTGGAAACTGAGCTGGGCTGCGCTATGAATTCTGGGACACTGCTTCTTCTTCTTCGGGGGTTTAACGGCAGCTGGCATCGTTGTACATGCAGTGCTGCCATCTTCTGTTTCAGTCCGTTATTACACTCTTAAATCCTGCTACTTATTCCTGCGTCTTTTGGGATCTTACAAAGCTTCAAACGACGCGTCGACTATTAAATTAGTCGTTGACGATTTTGATAGTCGACTAATCGTGGCAGCCCTACTGCAGAGTGATGCTCCTCCTCTTCTCTAATAACTCATCCTTCTATCATCTCATCCTTGTGTTCTTCATCTCTTTTCACACTCTCTCGCTCACACGTCTCCATCGACTTAACGACTTACATTCAGAGGACTCGGTCCTCACAGTGTGACTTCATTAACAGATTTATGGCCTCACAACATGAGTAACACAAGCCCACACACTCGAGCACTTTGTGGTTATTTATAGCAGCTGCACTGATTTGCTGCTAATCATAGCCTGAGTGTGCAGCCCCGATAATGTGATTAATAAATGATTCACCTGCAGAGAGCGTGTGTCTAAATGTTTGGCACAAGAAAAAGCTGCGAGTGAACGATCGGATGGTTTCTTTCTGCACAAATATTTAATGCTGTTAATGAGCAGATTCATGCTTTAAAGGCTCTGTGAGCAACAGCTCTTTTTTACAATAATTTGAGCTTTTCCATACATATTACGGAAAATTAAAAACCTTTTATATATTTCATGGAATATTACAAAAATCTGACTTGGATAAAATATGTGTGCTGTGTCTATCCCACTGAAGCCGGGTGGCTGCTGTCTGCAGGAAGCCTGGCCGTGAAGGTGTGTCTGAGGAAACGTTACAGCAGGGTTGGTTGGTTTGTTGCTCTCACAGAGACACACACACACCCCGACTCAAACATCGGCCCTGACCGCACTGTCATTCATTCACTGTTACACTAACAAACAGGGTCGCCTCTTTCCTGTCCAGAGGTTTACAGATGTGGGTGAAAGGCGGAGATGTTCTGCAGAAAAACAAACGAATCCCTCATGAAAGCCAACTCTCTGATATGGAGGCTCACCTGTGCCGGAATATTCATTTATTCTTTTTAATGAGAATATTATGAGTTCATTTTATATTAAATATTGAAGTTAAATGGGACCGCTGGACAACAGCTGTAAAGGATTTACATTAGTGTGTATTGTGATGTTTGATTGGCTCACCTGTGTGTGACGAGGACACGATGAGAGCGGGAGTCCTTATAATTTTCACGTGAGCGCTGTGGTCATATGCTCAGCTTCATAATTATTCTATAAACGCAGTAACAAACTGTCCGACAGGCTCGGAGCATACGGGGCGTCCTTGGTCTGATTGTGAAAGTTGTTACATTTTCATTACGATCTCTTCAGACAACGTCGACCAAAGAAACCAAAATCGTTACTCTAAATTTGAGGCACATGTTTCATACGTGTGTTGACTGTAAATATGTTGTAATAACGCATCACTCTGACGAATGATGACGTCACTGTTATGGCTATTCGAGGGGTTTATAATTAATCACACGACATGTTTTCCACCTGAGAGCAGAGCTGCATATTTCCCTAAAATGCTCTTATTTTTCTAAATATGCAGCCTGAGGTGTTGGAGGAAGGCTGGGCCTTCGTTTACAGGGATAAGTGACGACGATGATTTTAGTGTAAAGAGTATAAAAGCATCAGCGTCTGCTTCCTGCTGATCAAAGCCTCATCTGAGAGCAACGAAGCGCCGAGCGGCCGCTGCTGCCAGCGGGGAGATCTGACTGAAGAGAGGCAATCTGGGAAACGTTCACATAGGAATTAATTTAAACTGAACACACACACACACACACACACACACACACACACACACACACACACACACACACAGCCAGATAATTTATTATTCATATGGCATTTACAGTATTCATTGGAGGATGTGTGCTCATTCCAGTTTAACTGGCACCATTACAGCTTCTTTCTGTGTGGACAAATGTTCATCCATCAAAGGACATTTGTGCATGATGAGGAGGGCTCACAGATTTATGATT